ATAATAGTGTAGTAGCATACTTCACGTAAATCTATTTTGTGAACCTTAAGCTAAAGGAAAATTCTCCATGTAGTATTTCTAACACTTTCTAATTTGCATGACATATATTATTTTATTTACATAGAGTTGCTCTAAGTCTTCGGTATTGCTTCTAATTCTCCCATATCACTATTTTGGACCCTTGTGTCTGGCTGTCTTGGAAAGGTGAAAAGAAAGGTATGGGGAAGAGGATTGTTTTAACTAAGATTATTTTATCTGTTCAAGAGATTCAGGAAGTAATTAACGTTTGAATGCTAACATCTAAATATTGTAAACACATATTCTGTATGCATGTGGGAGAAGATCTCTATGTCTGATACCTTTTCTCCTCATCACATAAGTGAACTGACTTCTCTGATTTAAAATAGTAACCAAAATTTATATGATAAAATCAGTATATATGAGTATATATTTTCTCAAACCTCATTCAAACAGGCCTTTTTGGGAGACAAGACTCCTAATAAAATCAAAGCCCTTGACATTAAATATTCTGGTTTGTCTTTTTTAAAAAAAAAAAAAAGTCTTCATTTTTCTTTTTTTTTAAATTATACTTTAGGTTCTGGGGTACATGTGCAGATCATGCAGGATTGTTGTGGTTTGCTGCCTCCATCCCCCTGTCACCTATATCTGGCATTTCTCCCCGTGTTATCCCTCTCCAACCTCCCCACCCCCTTCTGTCCCTCCCCTAGCCCCCTCAACAGACCCCAGTGTGTGATGCTCCCCTCCCTGTGTCCATGTGTTCTCATTGTTCAACACCCACCTATGAGTGAGAACATGTGGTGTTTGATTTTCTGTTCTGGTGTCAGTTTGCTGAGAATGATGGTTTCCAGATTCATCCATGTCCCTATGAAGGACACAAACTCATCGTTTTTTATGGCTGCATAGTATTCCATGGTGTATATGTGCCACATTTTCCTTGTCCAGTCTATCATCGATGGGCATTTGGGTTGGTTCCATGTCTTTGCTATTGTAAACAGTACCACAATGAACAGATGTGTACATATGTCTTTATTATAGAACGATTTATAATCCTTTAGGTATATACCCAATAATGGGATTGCTGGGTCAAACTATTTCTATTTCTAGGTCTTTGAGGAATCGCCACACTGTCTTCATTTTTTCTTTTTTTTTAAATGCAATAAACTATACTACAACATGCAGTTTATGACAAGTTATTAGATATTAAAAGATTGATTTTCTGTTATTTTAATGTAGATTCTACCTTGCTTTTTTACTATCTAAAGCCATTTGTTTTAAGCTCCATGCTACAAAGACCACTGATGTTCATTGCCTAGAGCAATGTCTGATACATGGTAGTTGCTTGAAGTTTGTTAAGTGACTAAATGAAGGAGGATCTTACATATAACCATGTTTAAAATTACATATTATTATTTATAGTTTTTCCTTCTGATCTCCTTGAACCAACTATTTCTGTCTTTTTGTGGGAGTTTTATCCTTTTGTATTTTATCTGAATCTTTTGACATTCTAAAGATACAATCACTTAATCCTCTCTTCCATCCACTTTCTTTCCTTAATTTCAGGCAACAATGTGAAAATAATGGCGCTTATGTCTTTGTAGTAACAGAACTTTCTTTGTCTTTTCTTTAGCCTCATTTTAATCCTCAGTGACTCATGTTTAAGAAATGAACTGTGCAGCTGTGGTGGATCTAAGTCCTTGGCAACAACTCGGCAGTCAAACGAGTGGTCTCTCATAATGGATGGTCCTTAGCTTTGAATTATTCACTGTACAGTTTTAACAATGGAATTGTATCATCAAATAGTGCCTTGGACTTTCTAAGTTTGATGAGACCTTTAAGATCCATTTCCTTATTTTACAGACCTTGTTCCAACAATTATCTTCACCTTCCTCTGTCAAGGTCATAACATATATCTTTCTCTGTTAGAGTGACCAACTTTCCTGGTTTCCTTGGGACTGTCCAATTTTCCTGAGACTATCCTGTTTTTAACATCAAAAGTCTATCATCCTAAAACCTCATTGCTGGGCAAACCAAGCTGGCTGGTTACCCTACTGCTAGCTTCCATCTTTCACTCTCGGTTCAAACCATTCCTGTGCTAAAAAGAACTTCTTATCCCTGTGTCTTGTTATCTTCTCTGTCCCCCTGTCCTGTCTTCCTCTTTTCCTTCTCAGAAAAAAAACTGAATATGCAATTTTCACTTGAAATATCTACTCCCCTACTCCTTCTTCCACTCGTTCCTCAGCTACACCAATTCTGGGACTCCTGCCCTCCACTGAAATTGCTCTAACCACACCTAGCGTTCCCTCTGCAATGCTGATCTTGCTTTACTTCTATGTTTCATTGGATATGCTTGGTCACTCTCTTCCTCTCAAAACTCTCACTCTCTCCTTGAAATTTCTACACTCCTCATTTCCCCTAAAATCTCCACCTATTTCTTCCTTTTCGGTCTCTCAAAACATCCTGTTCCTCGGATTTCCCATTAAATTTTGATATGTAGGCACTCAATATATATTAGCTGAATGAGAAAATGACTCCTAAATCTTTTTTCTTCTCCTCAAACCTCAGACTTTATTATTTCCTTGTGAAAGGAATGTTGGCTTTCCTAGCTGAGTATATCACACTCCCTTACTCTGTTCCCCATGCACAGAACACCCCCAGACACATACTATCATGTTACATTTTTAATATTACTCTTTAATAATTTTATCCTGAATGAGCATGAGGTATCCTAGATCATAGGCACATTTCATTTAATTACCTTATGGTAAACATTGTTGCTGCACCTTTCCTTTGCCCAATGACTTCCCTCCAGTGCAACATGATGAATGTCGATGAAACATTTTCCCACTTGAGTGGCTAGATACTCCATAGGTGACAGACTAAGAAAAATCCTTTCCCTCTGCTTATAAAGAAGAAGGAGGCCACTATCTCTCTCTCCTTCTGAAAGGTTCTCTGTGGAAGCATAATGGGCCTGAGTACTAACTCCAGCTTCTCCAAAAACCAGCTAGCCCTATGAGTCTCACGATTCACAATCTAGACATGTTTCCAAGGTCTGCGCTTTATATTTTTTCTAATGTAAATACCTAGAGAGATACCTACTCCAGTCTCTCCAGTGATGTAGAGTTTAGCTGAGGAACCTACCCTGAGCTATAACCATTTGACCCTCTTGGATCAGAGAAATCAACTAGACTAGTGGCTACAGATCTAATCCCCATGTTGTGGGAAGTTCGTCAGAAGGCTAGAACTTTCTGTAGGTGAACTGAGACATCAGGAAAATTTATTTCCTCAAAGGTAGTTGATTTGCATCTGGCATTTGCTCATCTATTTAACCTAGAAGCTAAGAGTCTTGCTTGTCCCTTTTTATCTCTTCTCTCCAGCATCTGTTCAGTCACCAGATCTTCACACTTCAGATTTCTAAATATTTCCCTATTCTATCCCTGTCATTTTTCCTGGTACCATTGCCCTGAGTCAGATCCTTATCATCTTGTCCTGAATTCTTACAATTGCCTCATTAACTGTCTTATTCCATTTCTGCTCTTCTCAATTACGTACTCTGTATTTATGTCAGGGAGAGCTATTTCAACATACGTATTCCTGTGCCACTGCCTTGGCTAACATCGTTCAAACGTTCCTGATTACCTTCAAGGCAACACTTAAGCCTCTTAGCAGACCATATATAATCATAGAAAGGCAGAGCTTCAAATTCTGGTTTAAAAATCATATATTTCCAGATAATGATACTGTCTTTTTCATCTTTGGACATCCTTCTTCTTTATGCTCTAGAAACACTGGCCTGCCTGAGATATGGATATATACCATACTGTACGATGGCCTGTGTCTCTACACTTGCATTTTCCTCTTCTTGGAAGGTTTTCTAGCATACTCTTCCTTCAATAAGTCATGTTCATGCTTTTGAATTCTGTGTGATTACTGACTTCCCCCAATTTTCTTCCCCATACTGCACAAGTCTATAGCACTGTCTGCATTGTATTGAAATTATTTATGTGTTTGACTCTTCTATTAAATATAAAAGTTCCTAAATAGAAAGGGCTGTTTTGCATTCAAGTTTGTATTTCCAGTCTCAAGTACAGCCACTGACACAATAATTCAATAGAGGTAGCCATTATTATTTTTATAATTAGTAATGTCAGTATCAATTGCCTCCAGTCAGGTCCAAACAGGGAAACTAGGCAAAATGATAATTTACTTGGAGTTGGAAAACTTAAAAGTATGAAAAAAACACAAGAATACAATAGCTGTTTACACATACACACACAAATGCATGCGTACACACACACAAACACACACAGAGATTTCAAGTGAAATATTAGAAGAATCAGCTTTATATGGAATCAGAGTAAGTAACTCACGTATCCGGCATGATTTTAGGGTACAGAAATATCCTATTATTCAGAAATTACCTCCCTATCTATAGGCTGAATCCTAATACTCCACTTACAGAACTCCAGTATTTTGGTTCAAACGACTTGCTTCTCTCTATTGAATTGTAAATAACTGTGGATGATGAATCATTTTGCAAAGTGTCAGACTCAGGATTCTTTTGAATGGTGAACACCACTAAGATTTTATTAATAAACGTGTCATACAATACAGCTCTGGAACACTTCTGTAACATAATGGTGTGTCTGACATTCAAGGAAGAATACTGCTAATTTGTTTTTCCCCAGTGACAGAACAACGCTTAAATTCGGCCGGCAACATTGCTAAAAGTAAGACAGAGTTGAAAAAAAGTTACAAGAATAAGGCCTAGATCAGGGGAAATATTATTGCTGTTATTGTTAAACAGATATGTTAGCATTTATGTAGCATACACTTAATAGTTTTATTAATACCCTCACTTCTGAAGATCAAAAAAATCTGGGTCATTAACTCTCTTCAGTGGTGTCAGAGTATCTGTTAGTTTATCCTAGGCTCATGGTATGCCCCACATCCTTTTAGCACTCGATTATGTATGAACTTACTATTTTCACTCTGCTTCTAGTGATAAGTTTCTCCCTTTTGGGGGCTCCAGAAAGTTTTTGAAGGCAAGAACTATTCCTCTTGTTTTTCTCTTGATCCCCTGGATAAAGAAAGATTAGAGATTAAAGATTAATTCTAGGTCTGTTCATTTATAGAAACTTGTGCCCACAATTCCTACATCCTTAATAGCTCAAAACATTTCTACTATTCTTAAAGAGGTCACAATGGATGACGTAATGGTTATTTTTCAAAAGTATTGAGACTTTTCATTTAGCTTACTTATTTTATACCTTGTCAGATATTTTGACAGAATTAACTGGTAATGATCAGTTGGATTAATTGTATACTTTAAGATAGCCTAAATTCATGTAAATGGCCCATAAGGCTTCCCATTATGCTCTTGATATTCATTATTTGGGTACGTTTAAGTCCTCCTTAGCCATGCTAGAGTTTTGTAATATACACGTGACAACTTTAGCTCTAGATTTCAGGTACGACTGTCAGGTTACATAAACAAAGCAATATTATCTCAGTGAGAGGGCATTAACTATCTGGAATGCTCCCCCCTTCTCCCCAGAATAGCTTTACAAAAACAGTGCTTTCCTCATTAGCAGATAGACCCATATAGCCTTTTTTAAAAAAATCACTTTATGACTATCAGCGTATAAGTAAAAGAGATAGAAATTGACCTGGGAGTTTCATAAACAAGTTCTGAGCACCCAGGATTAATTTTGAGAAGAATGCCACAAGCCAAATAAGCACTTCTTTTCATCTCATTTCACAGGCCTTCAAGAGGGAATTGAAAACTAAAGAACCTGTAATCATGAGTACTCTTGAGACTGTACGGATATTTCTGACAGAGCAGCCTTTGGAAGGACTAGAGAAACTCTACCAGGAGCCCAGAGGTAATTGAATGTGGAACTATAATAACATATTGATAGAAGGATCAGTGGTGACAGAGCAGCCCATCCATTCTTGCTGCCAGGGTCTGGATAGCTCTCATATTTTCTAGGTTAAATAGAATCAATTCAAATTAAACATAGATGTTGAAAAAAATAAGGACTCATAAACCACCATGCATAAATCTGCACATTCATAAATAAACATTAAAAGAGATTAGCAATCAGTTATTGGAACATCTAGAAAATAATAAACAAAGAGAGTTATCTGCGAGGAGGAATTTTATTGTTATAAAGACTATCAGTTAATTTTCCATTTAAGAGCTTGACTGAAGTAAATTAGAGCTTGTCGTATGCATCCTAACGTTTTTCTCCTCAATAGCTTAAATGAATCTTAAATTATCTGATTGATATAAGGTAGAAAAGATTCACTTAGGAAGACATACTTTAGATGTCCTGTGCTGTATCAAAATTTATGCCAAAGTATAAAAAAGCCATTAAACAGTAGGTTGCCCTCTTGTTAAACTGTACTCTTTCTTTCTTCCAGTATGACCTTTTTTTACAATGTTTAAAAAAGAAAACAAAAATGAATGTGGCCTAAACCTTTGTCATATTGCCAATTTAGAGCTGCCTCCTGAAGAGAGAGCCCAGAATGTCACTCGGCTCCTACGAAAGCAGGCTGAGGAGGTCAATACTGAGTGGGAAAAATTGAACCTGCACTCCGCTGACTGGCAGAGAAAAATAGATGAGGCCCTCGAAAGACTCCAGGAACTTCAGGAGGCCACGGATGAGCTGGACCTCAAGCTGCGCCAAGCTGAGGTGATCAAGGGATCCTGGCAGCCCGTAGGTGATCTCCTCATTGACTCTCTCCAAGATCACCTCGAGAAAGTCAAGGTACCATCTACTTCTTTGCTTCAGGGCCCTTTGAGAGATTCAAAAGAGCTTCTAATCTGAACTTGAGTGCAGTGTGATCGTCCCACAAAGTTAAAGCTAGAGTCCTTAAGCAACAGAAATCAGTCTGTCTTTCACAAATTCAGTCTTCTTTCACATGGTGTTTTCTCCAAGAGAAGACAGTGCTCTAATCATCTGTCTATCTTCATTTATATGAAAGGAAATACTAAAAAGTTACAAGGCAAAAAATCATTTTGATTTTGCTATTAAGTAATTATAACTAAAGTACTCTGTGTGTGTGTGTGTGTGTGTGTGTGTGTGTGTGTGTGTGTGTACTGCTTGTGTTACTTTGTATCAGAATATAGAAAAATAAAACACCTAATCAAGAGCCAGGAGTCTAGGTGTTGGCCCTTTTGCTAACTAAATTATATGACCTGGATAAGTTATAGCACAGTGAAATAAAGCTGTTAATGTGTGGCCCTTCCCTTGGAAGGCAACATTTGTAATAGAATTTCAAGTTTCATTCACTCGCTGCAGACATGAGAGAAAATCATTGTATATTTGGAAGAACACTGTCTACAAGACCAAAGTTAAATTCCCTTGTGGCACAAAGATGGCAAATGTAGTCTATAGAAAATTATATATATATATATATATATATATATATATATACACACACACACACACACACACACACACACACACATATGAGCATCATTTTAAAATCAGCAACTACTCATCTATTGTCAAAACCACAAAAGTCTTCCTAGATTAAAATTCAAAAGAAGTTAAATTCCCTCATGCACTCAGCATGTTTGCCAGCATCCTCAGCACCTTCATTCTAGAAGCTGTCTTCCTCCTTGGCTTTCATGGAACTGTTTCATCCATGATCTTCTTCCAATATTTTTCTAGAGTATTCACCTTCCCACCTTTCAAATATTGTTGTGCCCACATTTTTAACCTTGGCCTAATTCTCTTTAGATTGTTTAAGCCCTCTCTGTTTGAGATGGCATGGATGGTGATGAATCTAAATCTCTAGTCCACATCTGTCTTATGATCTCCAAACCCATATGGCATTAGAATCACAAATGCAGCTATTCTGAAACCAAGTTCATTTGTTCTCCTGTTTTTCGGTTTTCCTTCTGCTATCCCCTCCTATCTGACCTTTTATTCCTGTTTCCTATTTCAGTTAGTGAATCATCATCCAACAAATTTTCCAGGCTAGAAACTTTAGGTTCATCCTTAAACCCTTCTGCATTTTCACTGACTGCACATGATTGCTCATGTTACCTGAGAATATCTCTTTTATCTTTTCTCTCCTCTTTTAACCAATGTCCTTTTTCATCCCCAGCATCTTTTACCTAGCTGATAACAGTATACATCTTTAAATCCCATTCTCCACTCAGTGTGCCTGGCATATCTTAGATACTGCATTTTAAACGTTTGGTGAATTAATGGATGGATGGTTTCTTTACTGATATTCATGCATTACCTAGCCTCTTCTAACTCCAATCCAAACTCCTTGCAGGAGAATGCTTGCCTAGAAAATGAAATCCAATGAATAAGGAGATTAAGTGGCCCTTTTCTTCCTATCCCTGGCTTACCTTCTCAGCCATAGCTCCCATTCTCCAGACCATTCAATACACTCTGCCTATATCTGTATTTTTCCTAAATATGCCATCATATATATATATGTATGTGTATATATATATATATGTGTGTGTGTGTGTGTGTGTGTGTGTGTGTGTGTGTGTGTGTGTATGTGTATATATATATATAACAGCCTGCCTTTGCAAATGCTATTCTCTGTCTGGATCCCTCTACCTTCTCTACTTGGTGAATTGTGATTCAACTCTCAAGGACCAGGCCAAATATTACCTATCTTTGTTGTTTTTCCTGAGTGTCTACAACCCTCAAGTCCCATGAAGCAGAAGAAACTGCTCACAGTTATACTCTCATAGATCACCAAGCATGCTAAATTGTCACACTTAAATTTCACATGTATTGTAGCAACTTCCTTATGCATTTTTTTTCTCCCAAAGAAAGTGAGTTTGCTAAGAGCAAGGATCATGCTGTACATCTTTGGGCTCCTAGCCCAGTGCCAGCAACATATAAGGAATCTCATTAAGTACCTCATTCATTCACTCAAGAACTGTTTATGAGCCATTGTGTAATATGTTCCACAGTTAGTTTAAAAAAAAAAAAAACAGACTTGGTCTTTGCCTTCATGAAGCCTATGGTCTAATGTTGAATTGCATAGCTCTTCATTAAAATAGTAGGTAAAAATTTTAAAAAGAAAAGATTAAAAATTTGACTCTAATACTTCTAAAATCCCTTCTACCCTGACATTTTATGACCCCATGTCTTTAACATTGCTGTCTACTGGAAAACTAAATATTTTGAAATGTATTACCTAGTATTTTTAAAGCATTGGATATATTAATTTTATACAAAAATATAGGGACTAATTTTTTACAGTCTTCTCCAGAAATGAGAAATAAGTTAGGGAAATGTCCCAGTGGAACTAAATTAGTTAATAAATCAATTAAATTACTCAATATATAGGCTATAGAGCAGACATAAGGGATTCATTTTTAGCCATATCTATCACACAGGAGCATTTGTAAGATACTGAGTGTGGATGGAGAAGAGAATATGTATGGCATAATTTAATAATCAAAAATAACTAAAAGCATAACCATTCAAGTATCAGCTGACCTTCACCCAGTCCTATCTGTGGTATTCTTTTTAGTTTACTTGTCTTATCTGTTAAGACAGTCTTCATTTTTCATACCCTAATTGGTAAAACTCTAATTCTGATCCCAATAATAGCAGAACATATAAACATTAAATATACATTTCAAAAAAGTATATTTATAATTAAACACATCTATCTTTCTCATACATATGTACACTTAAGTTATGGTACTTATCTGAATATTTATGTACTGGTAATAATAGATGTGATTGTTTGGGCTTTTGAACTAATATTGAATTTTATGCATGTTTCAAATTATGAATTACGTGAATTCATATATATTATATCCCTTCAGTAGCTTTTCTTCAATTTTGCAGTGGAAATAAATCATTTTTCTCCATTGCATCTTATTGGCACTGGGTTTGAAACTCTGAAGCTTTGGTGGTAGTCATTTACAAGGAGTGAATTTTATTAACTAAAATTTATTTCAGAAAAAAACAAGTGTACTTGAAACCACTGTTCCCATTTTTCCACTCAGCAATTTAAGCCCTCAGAGGCTTTATTCTGTAGAGAACTTCAAACTGATAACTAGGCAGCTAGCCAGAAAAACATTTTATATACCCATATCAGTTAATTTTCATCACCCCTAGAGACTCTATCATAGTACCTCACTCCATTCTGATCTTATGTGTTAAAGAAGTTATTATTCCAGTGACTAAGTAATATGTGTTTCTGTGAGATTTAGCATTCTATAATTGTATTAGCAAATGTGCCTTTTGGATTTAAAGAATGGGTTAAACAACAATGACTAAGTCCCTGGATGTTATGGAAATGGCATTATTGCTAGCTGATCATCTTCGGGTGATAAACATGGTAAAAATATTAATGGAAAAAATATTAATATTGACTATATTGCTCACTAAGAAAATCTCAGCCTTCCAAACATAGCTTCCATAGGAAAAAACAGTAGAATAAAATTTTAAGTTTTAAATGCTTCTTTACTTTTAAAATTCATGATTTATACTACTTATCAAAGATTTTAAGGGCAAGAGAGTGACTTCACTTTCACTGAAAATAGCCCCAGTACTTACTTGAGTAGACAAATATTCTACTTTCCTTGTAATTGGGAATAAGAATATCTCTTTGAATCACTAGGTGCTCCACATAGATCTGTAAGTGAAATATATAAAGGCTTTAATAAAGTAAAATAACTTTTAAACCTATAGTCTGGATACAAAATTTTTGTTCTTCAGAACAATCCCAATGTGAGAAAGTTTGTGGATTGTTGTTTTGTAATGTTTTGTTTTTATTCTAATAAACCATAGTTTCTCTCTCTCTTAATTATTATTATTATTATTATTTTTGAGACGGAGTTTCGCTGTTGTTACCCAGGCTGGAGTGCAATGGCGTGATCTCGGCTCACTGCAACATCCGCCTCCTGGGTTCAAGCGACTCTCCACCTCAGCCTCCAGAGTAGCTGAGACTGTGGGCGCCTGCCACCATGCCCAGCTAATTTTTTTGTTATTATTTTTTAGTAAAGATGTCGTTTCACCATGTTGGCCAGGCTGGTCTCAAACTCCAGACTTCAGGTGATCCGCCTGCCTTGACCTCCCAAAGTGCTGCAAATACAGGCACAAGCCACCACACCCAGCCTATAAACTATGGTTTCTCCCATAACTCTCAGAAAACTGACACAAGAATAGAAAACTAAACGCTACATGTGCTCACTCATAAGTGGAAGTTGAACAGTGAGAACACATGGAAACAGGGAGGGAACATCACACACTAGGGACTATCAGGGATTGAGGGCTAGAGGAGTAATAGCATTAGGAGAAATACCCAATGTAGATGAGAGGTCACCCAACCACCATGGCGCATGTATACCTATGTGACGAACCTGAATGTTCTGCACATGTACCCCAGAACATAAAGTACAATAAAAAATTTAAAAAATAAAATAAAAACATAGTTTCTCTATACCAAAAGTGGTACGTCATTCTTGAGCTGGGAATATTTCACTGTCCTTAGTTTACCTACTGAGTCTGAACACCGTTTTTCATATTGTAGGTAACTCTCCCAGGCTGCCATCTTGGAATATGCAACTTTGTCTAATCTATGTAGTTAAGCATATTGCATTTTTGTCAAACTTTTAACTTACATTTCTTACTGTGAAAAGTCAAGGGCAGGTATTATATGAGTTTTTTCTTTAAATTCCTACAATGAAATGTTTTGATTAAACATTTTTAACATTCAACTTGAGATTGATTTAATGATGTGTATAGTTGGCCAGAAATTTTGATGAAGCAATGATGCCATGCTTATTTATCTTCAGCATTCACATCTAAAATTTTAAGGAGAAAACTGGCAAATCCATCTTTTTAGGCTTAACATCCTTAGTCCCTGTGGCTTTGGGTTTTTTTTTTAGAAATTTGTCAAAGAAATGCTATCTTAGAATTTGACATTGAGAAAGCCAAGCATATTTCCTCTGAATATATAATGAGAAATGTGATATAATGTATTAGAATTTCATCTTTGCTTTGGCAAGTAAGACACTTGCAACCATGTTCATACAACTATCTTCCCTTATTACTTTTCTCTTCTTAACCCTGGTTCTAAAGTTTTCTTCTTATTTTTTTAAGTTTGTTGTGCTTCCCATTAATATGAGTCAAGTCAACTTACTTGATTTCTTATATATGGGTGATATAAAGAAAACTTATCTTTTCATATAGAATTAGGGAATGAATGGATAGACAGAACCAACATGACCAGGGCAACCCTAAAAATCATTCAAAACATGTAAGCTCTCCCAACTCTGAATAAACTAATGACACCTTCATAATGAATAAGGTGTACTGCCTATAGTAGGAAGAGAAAAAATGTGTTAATATTTTGTACATTGTTAAAGAACTACAAATTAATTGCTGTGTGGACATCTTCATTGTTGTACAAATGCTATGTGTATTAAGTAAGCTTTTGATGAAAAAGGAAAAACAAAGAAAAAATATTTAATCCCTTATAAACCTGGGTTAAATATGAAGCTAATTCCTGTTATATGGAGTAACCAGGGTTTTATCTAGTTTACAAACATTGCAATGTTTAAAAGCATATGATTTGGCCTTTAATATCTGAAAATATGTCTATCAAAAGCCATATTATAACAAAGTGTCACTCCATACTTTAAAAGTATAGTATATTTTTAATAGAATATTTATGTACTGGTGATAAGAGATGTTACTGGGTTTCTAAATCAGTACTGTATTAAGAATTTTATGCTATTGTAAAATTATGGATTATATGAATTCATATATATATATTTACTTTCAGTAGCTCTTCAGTAGAATGTCTAGGCTTTAACAGAGCTCAGCAACTTAAGTAGGAATTATTCATCTATAAAATCCTGAACAAAGAGGTGGGTGATTTCTGCATTTCCAACAAGTCCCAGTCAAGGGCTTATAGATAAAACTGCCATCTCCCTGGGACAAAGTACCTGGGGGAAGGGGCAGCTGTGGGCACAGCTTCTGCAGACTTAAACGTTCCTGCCTGCTGGTTCTGAAGAGAGCAGCAGATTTCCCAACACAACACGCAAGCTCTGTTAAGGGACAGATTGAATTCTCAAGTGGGTGTCTGACCCCCATGCCTCCTGACTGGAGGCACCTCCCAGCAGGAGTTGACAGACACCTCCTACAAGAGAGCTCCAGCTGGCATCTGGCAACCAAGCTTCCAGGGGAAGGAACAGGCAGAAATCTTTGCTGATATGCAGCCTCCAGTGGTGATATCTAGGCAAACAGGGACTGGAGTGGACCTCCAGCAAACTCCAGCAGACCTGCAGCAGAGGGTCCTGCTTGTTAGAATGAAAACTAACAAACAGAAAGGAGTAGCATCAACATCAACAAAAAGGATGTCCACACAGAAACCCCATCTGAAGGTCACCAACATCAAAGACCAAAGGTAGATAAATCCACAAAGATGAGGAAAAAACAGTATAAAAAGGCTGAAAATTCCCAAAACCAAGATGTCTCTTCTCTTCCAAAGGATCACAACTTCTCACCAGCAAGGAAACAAAACTGAATGGAGAATAAATTTGATAAATTGACAGAAGTAGGCTTCAGAAGGTGGGTAATAACAAACTCCTCTGAGCTAAAGAGCATGTTCTATCCCAATGCAAGAAAGCTAAGAACCTTCATAAAATGGTAGAGGAGTTGCTAACCAGAATAACCAGTTTAGAGAAGAACATAAATGACCTGATGGGACTGAAAAACACAACACGAGAACTTCGTAAAGCATACACAAGTATCAATAGCTGAATCAATCAAGCAGAAGAAAGGATATCAGAGATTGGCGATCAACTTAATGAAATAAGGTGTGAAGACAAGATTAGAAAAAAAAGAATGAAAAGGAACAAACAAAGCCTCCAAGAAATACCGGAATATGTAAAAAGACTAAACCTACATTTGATTGGTGTACCTGAAAGTGACAGGGAAAATGGAACCAAGTTGGAAAATATTCTTCAGGATATTATCCAGAACTTACCCAACCTGGCAAGACAGGTCAACATTCTAATTTTGGAAATACACAGAACACAACAAAGATACTCCTCAAGAAGTGCAACCCCAAGACACATAATCATCAGATTCACCAAGTTTGAAATGAAGGAAAAATGTTAAGGGCAGCCAAAGAGAACAGTAGGGTTACCCACAAAGGGAAGCCCCTCAGACTAACTGCGGATCTCTCTGCAGAACTCCTACAAGCCAGAAGACAGTGGGAGCCAATATTCAACATTCTTAAAGAAAATAATTTTCAATCTAGAATTTCATTTCCAGCCAAACTAAGCTTTATAAGTGAAATAAAATGAAATCCCTTACAGATAAGCAAATGCTGAGATATTTGGTCACCATCAGGCCTGCCTTACAAGAGATCCTGAAGGAAGCACTAAATATGGAAAGGAACAACCAGTATCAGACACTGCAAAAACATACCAAATTGTAAAGACCATCAACACTATGAAGAAATTGCATTAACTAATGGGAAAAATAACCAGCTAGCATCATAATGACAGGATCAGATTCATACATAGCAATATTAACCTTAAATGTAAATGGGCTAAATGCCCCAATTAAAACACAGACTGGCAAACTGAATAGAGTCATGACCCATCAGTGTGCTGTATTCAGAAGACCCAGCTCACATGCAAAGACACAAATAGGCTGAAAACAAAGGGATGGAGGAATATTTACTGGGCAAATGGAAAGTAAAAAAAAAGCAGGGGTTGCCATCATAGTCTCTGATGAAACACACTTTAAACCAACAAAGATCAAAAAAGACAAAAAACAGCATTACATAATGGTAAATGGATCAATTCAACAAGAAGAGCTAACTATCCTGAGTATAAATGCAGACAATATAGGAGCACCCACATTCATAAAGCAAGTTCTTAGAGACCTACAAAAAGAATTATTACATATCCCTATTATTGATATCCCTATTATCACACAATAATAGTGGGAGACTTTAATACCTCACTGTCAGTATTAGGCAGATTAATGAGACAGAAAATTAATAAGGATATTCAGAACTTGAACTCAGCCCTGGACCAAGCAGATCTAATAGACATCTACAGAACTGTCCACCCCAAATCAACAGAACATACAGTCTTCTCAGCACCACCTCATAGTTATTCTAAAATTGACCATATAATCGGAAGGAAAACCCTCCCCAGATAATGCAAAAGAATGGAAATCATAACAAACAGTCTCCCAGACCACAGTGCAATTGAATTAGAACTCAGGATTAAGAAACTCACTCAAAATCAAACAGCTACATGGAAACTGAACAACGTGCTCCTGAATGACTACCAGGTAAATAATGCAATTAAGGTTGAAATAAATAATTCCTTTGAGACCAATGAGAACAAAGACACAATATACCAGAATCTCTGGGACACAGCTAAAGCAGTGTTTAGAGGGAAATTTATAGCACTAAATCCCCACAGGATAAAGCAAGAAAGATCGAAAATCAACACCCTAACATCACAATTAAAAGAACTAAAGAAGCAAGAGCAAACAAATTCAGATGCTCACAGAAGACAATAAATAATTAATATCAGAGCAGTACTGAAGGAGATAGAGACACAAAAAAAAACCCTTCATAAAAATCAATGAATCCAGGAGCTGGTTTTTTGAAAAGATTAACAAAATAGATAGACCACTAGCCAGAATAAGAAAAGAGAGAAGAATCAAATAGACACAATAAAAAATGATAAAGGGGATATCACCACCGATCCACAGAAATACAAACCACCATCACAGAGTACTATAAACACCTCTACACAAATACACTAGAACATCTAGAAGAAATGGATAAATTCCTGGACACATAAAACCTCCCAAGACTAAACTAGGAAGAAGTCGAATCCCTGAATAGACCAATATCAAGTTATGAAATTGAGGCTGTAATTAATAGCCTACTAACCAAAAAAGAAAACAAAAGCCCAGGACCAGATGGATTTACGGCCAAATTCTACCAGAGGTACAAAGAGGAGCTGGCACTATTGCTTCTGAAACTATTCCAAACAATAGAAAAAAGAGGTATTCCTCCCTAACTTATTTTATGAGGCCAGAATCATCCTGATACCAAAAACTGGCAGAGACACAACAAAAGAAGAAAATTTTAGGCCAATATCCCTGATGAACATCAATGTGAAAATCTTCAATAAAATACTGGCAAACTGAATCCAGCAGCACATCAAAAAGCTTATCCACCATGATCAAGTCACCTTCATCCCTGGGATGCAAGGCTGGTTCAACATATGCAAATCAATAAACATAATCCATCACATAGACAGAACCAGTGACAAAAACCACACAATTGTCTTAATCAATGCAGAAAGGCTTTCAATAAAATTCAAAACCCCTTCATGCTAAAAACACACAATGAACTAGGTAATGATGGAACATATCTCAAAGTAATAAGAGATATTTATGGCAAACCCACAGCCAATATCATACTGAATGGGCAAAAGCTGGAAGCACTCCCTTTAAAAACCAGCACAAGACAAGGATGCCCTCTTTCACCACTCCTATTCAACATAATATTGGAAGTTCTGGCCAGTGCAATCAGGCAAGAGAAAGAAATAAAGTGTATTCAAGTAGAAAGAAAGTCAAATTGTCTCTATTTGCAGATGACATGATTGTCTTTTTAGAAAACCCCATCATCTTAGCCCAAAATCTCCTTAAGCTGATAAGCAACTTCAGCAAAGTCTCAGTATACAAAATCAATGTGGAAAAATCACAAGCATTCCTATACACCAATAATAGACAAACAGAGAGCTAAATCATGAGTGAACTCCCATTCACAAGTACTACAAAGAGAATAAAATACCTTGGAATACAACTTACAAGGGATATAAAGGACCTCTTCAAGGAGAACTACAAACCACTGCTCAAGGAAATGAGAGAGAACATAAACAAATTGAAAAACATTTCATGTTCATTAATAGGAAGAATCAATATCATGAAAATGTCAAAACTGCCCAAAATAAGGTATAGATTCAGTGCTATCCCCATCAAGCTAACATTGACTTTCTTCACAGAATTAGAAAAAACTACTTTAAATTTCATATGGAACTAAAAATGATCCCATATAGCCAAGACAATCCTAAGCAAAAAGAACAAAGCTGGAGGCAGCATGCTACCTGACTTCAAACTAAACTACAGGGCTACAGTAACTAAAACAGCATGGTACTAGTACAAAAACAAATATATAGACCAATGGAACAGAAGAGAGGCCTCAGAAATAAAGCTACACATCTACAATCATCTGATCTTTGACAAACCTGACAAAAACAAGCAATGGGGAAAGGATTCCCTATTTAATAAATGGTGTTGGGAAAACTGGCTAGCCATATACAGAAAACAGAAACTGAACCTTTTTCTTACACATTATACAAAAACTAACTCAAGATGGATTAAAGACTTAAAATATAAAACCATAAAATCCCTGGAAGAAAACCTAGGTAATACCATTCAGGACACAGGCATGGGCAAGCACTTCATGGCTAAAACATCAAAAGCAATGGCAACAAAAGCCAAAATTGACAAATAGGATCTAATTAAACTAAAGAGCTTCTGCACAGCAAGTGAAACTATCATCAGAGTGAATGGGCAACTTACAGAATGAGAGAAAATGTTTGCAGTCTATCCATCTGACAAAGGGCTAATATCCAGAGTCTACAAGGAAGTTAAACAAATTTACAAGAAAAAAACAACCCCATCAAAAAGTGGGAAAAGGATATGAACAGACAATTCTCAAAAGAAGGTATTTATGCAGCCATCAAACATATGAAAAAAAAAGTTCCTCGTCACTGATCATTAGAGAAATACAAATCAAAGCCACAATGAGATACCATCTCACGTCAGTTAGAATGGCAATGAAAAAATCTGGAGACAAATGCCGGAGAGAATGTGGAGAAAAAGGAATGCTTTTACACTGTCGGTGGGAGTGTAAATCAGTTCAACCATGGTGCAACACAATGTAACAATTCCTCAAGGATCTAGAACCAGAAATACCATTTGATCCAGCAATCCCATTACTGGGTATATGCGCAAAGGATTATAAATCATTCTACTATACATACACATGCACACATATGTATATTGTAGCACTGTTCACAATAGCAAAGACTTGGAACCAACCCAAATGCCCATCAATGATAGACTGGATAAAGAAAATGTGGCACATATATGCCATGGAATACTATGCAGCCATAAAAAGAATGAGCTCATGTCCTTTGCAGGGACATGGATGAAGCTAGAAACCATCATTCTCAGCAAACTAACATAGGAACAGAGAACCAAATACGGCATGTTCTCACTCATAAGTGGGAATTGAACAATGAGAACAGATGGACACAGGGAGGAGAACATCACACACTCTGGCCTCTTGGGGGTTGCGGGGGCTAGGGGAGGGATAGCTTTAGGAGAAGTACCAAATGTAGATGACGGGTTGACGGTGATGACACGGCAAACCACCATGGCATGTGTATGCCTATGTAACAAACCTGCATGTTCTGCACATGTATCCAAGAACTTAGAGTATAATTTTAAAACATCCTGACCAAATTATTTGTTCAATGTAAAATTAATTGTAAGTTAGTGTTGCCAGGAGAGCTCATTACTTAGTTACCATGTATTCCCTCTCATCTCCTGCTTTGTTTATAAAGCTAAAAGCAAATTACTTAGGACAACAATGTCAAATCACTTTCTTCTCCCAAAGCATCTGATTTTAGCGCTTTGTGTGTTTTAAAAGCCCCTACCTCAACTTAGGCAAATAGAACCTTCGTTTACCATGCTATTCCCATCCCGCCTTTGAAACTTCTGAAAAAGGCAGAGTGGAGTAATTGTTTCAGGCATCTGCTTAACATACTTTGAAGTGCATATAAGTTCTTTTTCAGTTTCATTTGAACCCCAGCTGTCTTCACCGAAGTCTATAATCAATCTGAATTAAGTTGTCCTACTTCTCCTAATAAGTCTCTTATTAAGTTCTGCATCAGCCTCTTAGGGAGACTTAAAAGCTAATTCATGTAGAATTGCCATTTTCTACTAATTCATTTGTCAGCTCTCCAAATTCCAACAAAAACAATTGCAAAGACTATTAATTTGGCTCTTCATAAACAACTTATGTAAGTGTAGTATACATTGGAACCAAACAAACGATTTAAAACAGTGGGTGGGAGGAAATGGGTTGATGGCGTTCACAACGCTTCCTTTCTTGACTGTTATGAAATGCCTTCCACATCGAAAGCATAAAGCCATTTATTTAGTAAAGGAAACATCCTTCTGCTTTTACTTTCATAAATAAGATAATGACTGAGTGAACTTTGCTTAAAGATACAAAAAGGCTTTAGAACAGTTGGAAAAGGAACATGTTCTTTTTATTATTGAACTTATTTTAATTTGGACTTCTTTGTGTTAGTTTGATGGACTGGGATAAAAGAAGGAGCTAGAACTGGTTACTATTGTTACTGTATTCAATCAGAGTTGTACAGCTACTCTTCTGGTCATGGGATCTTTAGGAGAACATGGATAATCAAAGTGTTCAGCTAATGAGTTCATCTGACATTATTCTACTCAAGAAGTGTTTAATTAGAAAATAAAAATTTCTCCAAAGAATACCATCCTTCCTACGATTTCAAAACAACTATATCAAAATCTGATCCTATAATATACCAATCCTGTTTGCTAGGATTTATTGTAGAAGCTTTGTTTGTGGCTGGTAATAGCTATAAATACTATTCCTCAAGAGTCTTAGGTAATAAAAGATTATTCAAAAAACTTAATATACTCTCAGTATTAAAGGATATACAAATGCATTCATTTATTAATTTATGATATGATTAAAACCTATACCCAGAGAAGTCTGATCTCATTATAGAGTGTGAACATTTAATTTATTTCAAAAATAAATATTATATTCAGAGATGTATTAATGGCATCTTAGTTTTCCTGGGAATATTATTATTAAGCACCAAGCTGAGGGAGCAAGGATTTGTATTAGCTTGTGCACACATGTGCATATACCATATTAACTAGAAACAGTGCTAAAATGTGAGTTATTTAACTGAAATTCCATATTTCCTTAGAAAATGAAATCACACAGCCAATACATACTTTTAATCATTTTTTGACATCTGCCAAAGTTGTGACTAGAATAAAGTTCACAATTCTGTTACTTTCCTACCATCGATAAAACAGGAAGTGTTTTAAGATCAAATAACCCAAGGAGTTGGCTTCTTCCTGTCATGCTTGACAATTACAATTTTTAAAATTTATCTGTTAACTTTGACACCAATATTACACCTCACACAACCTGACATTAACTAAGTTAAGCAATGGCATTGAATACTTGTTCTTGGTAAATCAGTTTTCTGGGTATTAAGGGAACAGATGTGTTTGTGATACTAATGTAACTCTCTCATTTTAATGGGGCCAAAGAAAGAACTTTTTCTTAATAAGATTTTTTCATGTTAAAATAATATTTTTAGTTAGAATTTACACTTACTATAGCTTTTTCTATTTAAAAGCATCTTCCAAAAGCAGTGATTCTCAAACCTTTTTCACTTCAGTTATGTTAACAGCCAAGAAGACATACCCTGATATCTCCCACTTCCACTTACCTGTCTCCTTTTTCGATAAGCATGAAATGTCTTTGATGGTTCTTGTTTTATTTTTTTAATCTCACATCAATTTTATATGTTCCATAATGCGTTCATCATGTTTTAATATGCAGATGCTTTTTCTTCAAATTCTGAGGTAAATGAATCTTTCAGTACATTCACCTATGAACATGAAAGCATAAGTTTAGAATTACAATATGTAGGATTGCCCAGTTTGTGCAGGCTTTGTCTTTTTCCATCAACTTGTTTATGTATACAGACAAAAAGAGCAGACCCTTGCTATTTCAGATTTATCTTTTGCAGTTTCATCTGATTATTGTGATCCAAAGTTCCATGACTAGTAGCTCTTAATTTTGAACATGTATTATTTGAAGCTTTTGTGCACAGTTGCTTAACCGGTGAGCTATATGGCGTTTTAAGTCAGGTTCCATGAATGCAGACCTTGAGAACAGGGGTCTAGCTGCCTGCGATTTATAGAGGGTCTGCTCTCAAGAGAAGCCCGTATTGGAGTTAGGGAGGAATAGTACAGGAGGAGAAAGAGCTCAGCAAGTGTGCTATTTCAGGTGAAACCTCGCATTGTGTCTGATCCAGAGAGCGAGCGAGCCTTGGAACAGAAACTGCACTGTGGAGTTTTGCTTTCATACCAGTCATTGTGCAACTGACATACTAGCAGATATTTGTCAACTAGCTCTGAGGTGGGATGAATCCTGGTGTGTATCAAAACCAGTTTTGATGGTTTAAATACTCCCACCACTGCTGATTTCTAGCTACCAACATGATGTCACTGACTGTGGAATGGGGAGGAGATGCACACAATTGGCTCTTGGGCTCTGCTGCAGCATACCACTGGCTGTGGTCCACTCCTGGGATACGGGTTACTGCCTGGGCCAGGCGGCCCCCATAAGCAGAGGTCACATCTGGAGAAGGCAGGTAGCTATAAGACATTAATAGTCAATCCTCACAGCAGATAGAGGATGGATGCCCAGGATAGGTAAAGTGTCCCCTACAACTAGTAAGTAAACCTAGTAACCCACTCACTGTACATACTTAACACGGCTTTTTTTGTTTTTGTTTTTGTTTTTTTGAGATGGAGTTTTTCCCTTGTTGCCCAGGCTGGAACGCAATGGTGCAATCTCAGCTCACTGCAACCTCCACCTTCCAGATTCAAGTGATTTTCCTACCTCAGCCTCCCGAGTAGCTGGGATTACAGGCATGGGCCATGACGCCTGGCTAATTTTGTATTTTTAGTAGAGATGGAGTTTCTCCTTGTTGGTCGGTCTGGTCTCTAACTCCCAACCTGAGGTGATCCGGCCACCTCAGCCTCCTAAAGTGCTGAGATTACATGCATGAGCCACCACACCTGGCTTCAACATGGCTTTTTAATGCTGTTTTGTTTTTGCATGTACAGTGATTCTTTATAAGTAATGATAATGTTTTTTCTTTATGGAAAATCCACCTACCCTCCACCCTACCATCAAGCTATTCATCAGAATTAGTGATGGAAGAGAAGAGTTCGTGAATGAAAAAGTCTAAGAAAGTGATGACTATTGGTAAGAAAATGGCCTCATAAGTGAGTTGGGCTTTACAGTTATGGAATCTGTAAATGTGTAGGCATTCAAGTTTTCCAGACATGATCACTGAGAATGTCAAGAATTTATAGTGGGAATGCTTCTCACTTTCGCAGACATCAGAATCACCAGGAGGGCCTGTAGAAACTCAGGTTGGTGAACTCCTTCCCCAGCGTTCCTGATTCAGGATGTCTGGGGCAAGGCTAAGAATTCCCAACTGGTTCCCAGGTGATCATGATGCTGCTGGTTCGGAGATACACTCTGAGAACATTCAATAGTAAAGCTACTGTATGTGTACATGAATACATATTTTGTGTAGTGTTAGCATTTCTTCAATCACAAAGAAATAATATCAAGAAGTAATAAATGTATCATTTATTATTTCTTTTATAATTATCTATATCCAGAATATTTAGTTCAAAAATGAATGTAGGCATAGGGCCTCCTGTTATATTGATTAATAGTTTAGGTCAGAGAGCATGATAGGGAGCAGTGTTTCACTCAGGAACCTTGAAATGAATAATGGCTTCTTGTCTAAATCTAACTTGTGGAAGACATTGACAGTTGTTTATTTCATTTTTCTTGTAGGTATTTTAATGACACCAGTACAATTTTGGGGTTGCTTTAGATGACCAATAGCATAACTTGCCTTCCCAGTATTAATACTTTAACATCAAAAATATGTAGTGATGGCTGGCCTTGGAGGCTCACACCTGATCCCAGCACTTTGGGAGGCCGAGGTGGGCAGAATTGCTTGAGCTCAGGAGTTTAAAACAAGCCTGGGCAACGTAGTGAAACCTCATTTGCACAAAAAAATACAAAAATTAACCAGGTGTACTGACCTGTGCCTGTAGTCCCAGCTACTTGAAAGGCTGGGGCAGGAGGATTGTTTGATCCCAGGATGTCAAGGTTGCAGCATGCCCTGTTCACTCCATTGCACTCCAGGCTAGGTGACAAAGTGAGACCTCTCTCTCTCTCTCTCTCTCTCTCTCTCTCTCTCTCTCTCTCTCTCTCTCTCTCTCTGCCTCCCTTTCTCCCTCTCTCTCTCTCTATATGTAGTCACATAACTTTTTACTTTGTATAAATGCTTTTTTGTATTTATCAATAAAAAGAATTACATTTTAATATTCTCCTTACAGTTTCCTACCAAACATACTGATGATAAAATTGTAAATAGTACTTTATACAGTTTCTGAATCTAGGACATTAAAAATAGTTGGGATCAGTCAATACTTTTGAAGTAAAATGTACTTGCTGGATATGAATAGCTGATAGCTTCTCCAGGAGTTCCTACATTTTATGACTTACCTTGTCTACACCTTGAGGCTCTGTGCTCAGGAGGAGGGTATATTTTTGTGTATAGAAATAGAGATGAGGGCCAGGCATGGTGGCTCACGCCTGTAATCCCAGCCCTTTGGGAGACCAAGGCAAGTGAATCATGAGGTCAAGACCAGCCTGGGCCAAGATGGTGAAACCTTGTCTCTACTAAAAATACAAAAATTAGCCTGGCATGGTGGCACATGCCTATACTCCCAGCTGCTCAGGAGGCTGAGGCAGAGAATTGCTTGAACCTGGGAGGCAGAGGTTGCAGTGAGCCAAGATTGTGTGGTTGCACTCCAGCCTCGGTGACAGAGTAAGACTCCATCTCTAAAAAACAAAAAAAAAAAAAGGAAAAGAAAAGAAAGAGAAAGAAATAGAGATGAGGTAAAAGTGTGAGAGCAACTGGGAGGAAGTCGAAAATAGTCTTAACTGAAGTGATTGAGGAAGAGGAATTTTTCTCAAAAATGGTGCCAAAAACCAATGTACTAAATATCTGTGAAAAAGTTCATGGTTCTGGTATAGGGTGAGTGATATATGAAATGAGAATTGTGGGATAAATGTAATGGAAACAAATGTCTTAAAATTTGCTTTTGACATTAAACAAGAAACATGAAACACAAACTTTTTCCTTATTCTGGAATCTGAGACAGGAGAAGGACAAGAAAAAAATAAAATTCTACATTAGAAGCTATTTGATTAATGTTCAATGTAAAATTGAAACAGCTATGGTCGAACCCACTCAAATCAAGTGTACATTAAATACTTTAGTTAACTGAATTAGGCAGAATAAGGGCACATTAATGTTCAATGTTGTTGAAAATTGGTCCACATATCATTGTTATGCTTTTTGTTTGTAAACCTCAATGTTTATTAAATTTCCACAGTATGTTCGGCCCTGAAATGTGAAACTCTCTTAACCAGAATGAGGCTGGAGAATCTAACACTAAGATAAATTTCTATGTTCTTTTAAGGAATTGATTTGCATGGTGATTTTTTTTTTTCTTCATTTAGTTAAGAGCCTGCCAGTCCTGTTTCAAAACATACTTATTTTTAGAAGTTTGATTTTCTGGGATTTTGCATCATTATACACTCAACTGACTCATTTAGAACTTTTTCCTATCAAATATTCACATTCCATCATCACCATCTTAACATGGCATAAGCAAGTTAATGGACAGAGTTAAGTCAATTTGTTGGCAGTATATGTCAAATGAGTCTTTGGCACTATATTGGTGTTTTTTAAGAACCAATGACAAACTACTGCTGAGTTTCCTTTTATTTACTTTTTTCCCACTCTTAAAACATTGTAACCCATTTTGAAATCTATCCATTGTTGTGAACCTAAAGCCTATTATGTCTTTATTAAATAATATCCATATAACTGACCTGTGATTTAGGTTTCTTATCTGCCCCCAAGCAAGTAGGCTACATGCAACAGCATTTCACCTGCTTTATTTTCTACTTGCCAGTTGTTTTCTAATTTTCACATATTTCTAGGAGGGATGGAGCTAAAGCAAGAGAATGGTCCATTGTTTTAGACCTTCACAAACCCGATATGCTAGAATCTCCACAAAGGTTATCCAATATCAAGGTGACTTTTGTGCATCCAATAAAACATAAGGTTAAAAGAAATATAGGCTAAACAAATGAGCATAAATTCTGTTACTCCTTTGGCTTACAGTATGAATAAAATATTACCTTTGGAACCATCTCACCGTTTTTTTAAAAAAAGGTTGAAGGAAGACATTTGCAAAGTCTTTTCTGCTATAAAACTGCCTAGGGTTTGGGGTTGATTGTTGTATGCAAGAGGGGTCTTGGTGAATCTGACCCACTTTGAATCTAAAATTACTGAATTCTTAGTGAAAACATTATTTTAAAAAGATTTTTGAACTCTTTTTCTACTGAAATTGTATTCTCCTTTAGATAATACAGCATCACCCCTGCAGACTTTTGAGGGTACTAAATCATACTCCTCTTTTGAAAAAGAAAAAGTCTATTACTATTAAACGTTTCTGTTAGTTGAATACCAATCACTTTTTCTAAAGGGTAGATTTGGCCAATGACTAATTTTTTTTATATTGCATCTGAGAACATTGTTTAGACAGCTTGACACTTAGACTAATTTATGTAAGTAGTAATTTATTCATCATTTGCATGTACTTAACTGGACATTATCATGATAGCAGTTGTCATAACAGACTATTACAGGATATGAAATTAGATATTACCTTAAGATGTGATCAGAAAAATCAGAATATTATCTTGAAAATATCA